AAAGAAGTGTTTTGAGTGTGGACAAGAAGGCCACTTTGCTCATGAGTGCCAAACTCCACCACCACAACCCTTGCCCAAGCATGCTAGACCTTTTGCTTTCAATGCTCATTACATGCTTAGAAAGGATTCTAGCGGAAAGATAAAAGTGGTGTTCTTAGGACCTCCCAATAAGAACAGGCCTAAGAAAATTTGGGTAGCAAAGTCACTTGTTGAGAAGGTGAAGGGCCCTCAACAAGTTTGGGTTCCTAAAGCTTGATCTCTTGTATGTAAGTGAACTACAAGACCGGTGGAAGTTATTGGGTTATTGATAGTGGTTGCACACAATATATGACCGGTGATCCTCGTATGTTCACCTCATTAGATGAAGAAGTAGATGGACAAGAAAGAATCACATTTGGAGATAATTCAAATGGCAAGGTTAAAGGATTGGGCAAAGTGGCAATATCAAATGATCATTTTATCTCAAATGTGCTATATGTTGCTTCATTGAGCTTCAACTTGCTATCCGTTGGACAATTGTGTGATCTTGGCTTCTAATGCTTGTTTATCGATAAGAAAGTTGTTGTATCTAAGAAGGATGATGATCAAGTGATATTCAAAGGATTTAGATACAACAACCTATATCTAGTGCACTTCACCTCCGAAGATGCAAATTTGAAGACTTGCCTATTCACCAAAACAACACTTGGGTGGCTATTGCATAGAAGACTTGCTCATGTTGGGATGAGCTCACTCAAGAAGCTAATGAAGAATGATTTGGTGAGAGGGTTGAAGGATGTGAAGTTTAAGAAGGACAAGCTTTGTAGTGCATGTCAAGCCGGCAAGCAAGTTGCAAATACTCATTCAACCAAAGCTTTCATGTCAACCACAAGAGTGCTAGAACTCCTTCACATGGATTTATTTGGACCAACAACATACAAGAGTTTGGGAGGAAATCTTTATTGTCTTGTGATTGTTGATGACTATTCAAGATACACATGGGTATTCTTTCTTCATGACAAATCCGAAGTTGCATCATGCTTCAAGAAGTTTGTCAAGAGAGCACAAAATGAGTTTGAAGTGAATGACAATGGGAAGGAATTTGACAACACAAACATAGAAGCCAATAACCGCTAGTAACGGTCGCTCCATGCTGGCCAAGGTCATCGACGAGTGCGACTTGGTGAATAGATGCGATGATGAGCACTACTTTGAGCCGTCGTGTCCTCCCAACGTCGTCGACGGGTCGCCGACGGTGTGGAAAGCGCTGGGACTCGATGATGGCATCGGTGAGGTCAAGGTCACTTGGTCTGATGTCTGAGCCGTGAAACGCTGATGAAGTAGCCAACTTCCTGCGTGAAGAGAAGGAAGTACACGCATAAAGTGTGTTCTTCTGACTTGCATGCACATGTGTCAAGGGATTTCTGACCAGTTGTGCTACTAGTCTTGGCTATGATGGAATAGCTACTAAATAAACCATCACTTGCATTTGTATTTGTCGACGTCGTTCCTAAGAGTACGACCACACTGTTCGTTTCCCTCCTATAGTTCATGTCACTCCCAAAATAATTTGTGCATAATTATTCAGTGTATACTATCACATTGTGACATATTATTCATGTGTTCTAGAAAAGGCTATCGTCGTTGAAAGCATCTAGGCCTCTAGTTGGGTTTCGGTGATTAATGACAATACATGATTACTATGACTAACATGTGTTTTGTAGAGGCAATTAAGTTAGGTCATGGTAATGGAGATCAATTGGGCAATCATGGTGGTCATGCCCCTACGATGGAAATCGTTTTGGTTTTCAAAGGATGGACGACAAGGTTAAGGATGAACTAGTTCTAAGTGTCGTTTGATGTTGAAGAGACACTTAGAGTAGTTTAGGACTTTGTTTTTCCTTTGGCCGTACTATTAAGGGGGCATGGACGGGTAACTTGACCTAGGTGAGTCTAGTGAGTTAGGTGTGGTGCACACTTGCTAAATCTAGCACTAGGTAGCTCCAAAATAGCCCTTAGATCCAATAGAGCAAACTTCATTCACGTATGATTGAAAGTTGGAAGTGAATGGAGGGTCAAATGCTGACCGGATGCTGGTTCCGGTGTGACCGGACGCTGGCTCAGGGTCCGGTCAATTCATTTGATCAAGGTGATTTCGACCGGTGAGACCGGATGCTGGGTGCCAGCGTCTGGTCGACTCCAGTAAAAGTTCCAGAGAGGGAAAATCACGACCGGACACATCAGGTCAGTGCTGACCGAACGCGGACGCTGTCCAGCGTCTGGTCACCACTTACACACTGGAGGTCGGGGTGAACTGACCGGAGCGTCCGGTCACCCCGCAGAGGCACATAACGGTTTGTTTTTCAACCAAGGTTATAACTACTTCCTCCATTCGTGTGAGGGGGTACTTTTGCTTATTCCAACAGCTGAGAAACACCTTTGAGAGTGCCAAGAAGAGCAAGGTCCTAGTGAGGTGATTGAGATTTGAGAATCCCAAAGAGAGCCCTCATTAGTGAGATCAAGAGTAGCAAAGTGTGCATCCACCCTTCTCGTTAGGCTTGTCGTGGTCAAGTGAGAGTTCGTGCTTGTTACTCTTGGTGATCGTCATCACCTAGATGGCTTGGTGGTGATTGGGAGCTTAGTGATCATCCGGCGGTGCTTGTGGATGACCCAACTCAAGTTGTGAGCGGTTGTGGGTGATTCACCGCGACGGAGTGTCGAAGAATCAACCCGTAGAGAGCACTTGATCCTTGCGCGGATCAAGGGGGAGCTACACCCTTGCGCGGGTGCTCCAACGAAGGCTAGTGGGGAGTGGCGACTCTCCGATACCTCGGCAAAACATCACCGCGTTCCACCTTCTCTCTTTACTTTGAGCATTTACTTTGAGCAATTCAATTCTTGTCATTTACATTCATAGAATTGCCATGGTAGAGTAGGATTAGAACATAGGTTGCTAAACTTTTGTGCGTTAGATCAATAGAAACACTTTCTAGGCATAAGGGGTTAATTGGGTTAACCGTAGGGTTTAATTATTGAAAGAAATTTAGAATTAGCCCAATTCACCCTCTCTTGGACATCTTGATCCTTTCAGTCGTCATTTGAGTTTAGCAATAGGATTTGTTATCGACATCGCTGAACACCGGTTTGGTGGTTTGTAATATGTGTTGTGAGGATTCTCTCGTAGATGCGCTGTGTAACTCTTTTTTCTCTTAATGAGAAACATGATTAGGCACGATCGCGAAAAGGGATTTGTTATTGATGCAGCTAGACCTTTGCCTTTACGTTGAACACCAGGAATTTCTTAGGTATACTTTGTCTAGCCTATATATTAGGAAAAATTACGAATGCAGCAATTGTGGGCATCTACCATGAATTTACAACACGTGTCCATGTGTGCTCACTCTTAGGGTGTAGGAAGAAGTAAAGGAGAAAGTGGTGGTGGAATTGGGCTGGAGCTAGGATGGCCCAAAAAGAAAATAAATTTACAGTTTAAATGAGTTTTAAATTAGGTTTTGAATTTTCTTGATTTTTTGATTCGTTGTTACACTCTTCCCATAAGATTTTTTTTTTTTTTTGCAAAACACAGTACAACACAAACACTCAAACATATGTGTACACTCAACCCCTCTAAACACACTCACGTATTACCCTTATAAGCACTCCGCAGGACTGAGACTGAATTGACAAACATAACCTACTCTTGAGCACCTCAATCCCCTAACTTTAACTTTATAAGCACCTCCGAATGAGTCTGAACTGGTAGGCATACCCTACCCTTATGAGTTATGAGCACCACTGAAGGAACGTTAGTTACCATTGAAAGAATAATGCAACACCCACGTCAAGTCGAGAACTTGAACCTGGGTGAAAAAAAAATCACCACAAAGAAACCAACCAGCTAAGCTCGCTTAGTTCGCTCCCCATAAGTCACATTTACAGATGAAACATATCTTGTTTGCGTGGCACCGTTGTATCCCCGGCCTCCCCATGGAATGCATCGTCATTACCTGTCACAATGTATGGCTCTCATGTCATCTCCTCAGTGTCTCCATGCTATGCCAGGATGAACTACTAATGACCAACCTAGATCTGTACAAACGCAGGGTCCCCCAAATTGCTCTGAACAAAAGTTAGTAAAAAAAGACGGTTGATATTCGATCCTAGCAAGGATTATTGACACACATTGGAAAATTCCAGATCTCAGATGTTTATCTTTTGCTAATCGCCCCATCAATCCGTTTATGTACATATTACTGATGTACGAACTAATAATACAAGTAACATAAAAAGGATGGTCAGCATTTTTTACAACAATAGTCTAAACTCACCATGCTTTCCATTTGCCTATATATGTTTATTTCTTTCCATTTTTCCTTCTGGTACAACATGGTGGGCTTTATAGGAATCAAAAGGGCATCATATTTATATTATTGAAATTATGTCAAGTACTGTTTACTTGAGGAAAAGGATCACTAATACCGAAGCTACCAGCAGTAGTATTGGGCTTAACATTAGCAGGCAATGTAACTTTCTGCCGTGCACAGACAAAAAGGTGTGATGATCAAGGCAACCATGAGGTGAAAAACCAAGAGAACGAAGGGCCATCATCATGCATGTCAAATGTCAAATGAAGCAAGAGCCATAGAAATTGCCGCCATTTTGCTGCTAGAGAGATCTATATTAAGCGACACAAACTGCAAACCATCAGCCACTCAGCAAGAGTTCCAAGCCTCTCAAGCTCTAACCTAAACTTGCGTGGCAGCTACGAAGGCAATAGAAGAAATACCAAATATGGTTGACGCTAGACTACTACTGGTTGCGTTTGCCCTCTTGGCCTTGCAGATCCTGTGCTTCTCCTCTCACGAGGCCTATGCTGCAACCTGCCATGCCACTGGCTTCGTCCGTGGCAAGGGAGAACGCTGCTCCAAAGAGAGGGGGTTGGACAACTGCTGCGTCGCAGGCACAAGCACTATCCGCAGTTCAATTGCTCGCCTCCGGTGTCAGCCAAGACACCGGCTATCATGGTTTTCACCATATTTGAGAACGGAGCAGATGGAGCGGCGATCAGGATCACATCCTGCGACCAGCGCTCCCACCTGGACAAAGAACGGCTGGTCATACTCTCCTCCGGGTGGCTGCGACTCGACGGCGCAGACCGCTGCAACAAGAAGATCCGTATCAGAGCGAAGAACAGGAGGTCAGTCCGGGCCAAGGTCGTCGACGAATGTGACTCGGTTAACGGCTGCGACGAGGAGCACGGCTTCGGACCCCCGTGCCGCAACAAAGTTCTGAATGCTTCGCCGGGAGTGTGGAAGGCTCTCAGGCTCAATGGAACCATCGGAGAGGTGAAGGTAGGCCTCGAAAAATAACTCGTAAGTCCTAGCTCGCTCGTTAGTGGCTCGGCTCAAGCTCGGCTCGTTTGAATTTTCAAATAAGCTGAGCCAGCACTTTAACTCAATTAATTAACAAGCCAGCTCGATCTAGCTCGTGAGCTGCTCACGAGCCAAAACGAGCCAAAGTAAATTAGATGACAACAACTTGAATCAGCCTATATATGCCATGGCCTATTGGCCCAATATAATAAAACCTTAGCCCCCAACTCCTACGCTTCCACTCCAACTCCTACGCTTCCACTCCTAGTCCCTAGACTTCCCCCATCCGCCGCTCCATGCAGGCGTAGCCGTAAACGCATGCACGCTTGGTTGTTCCCCTCCTGAGCTGCTGCACGCGGCACACGCGTAAGTCGCCCGGTGCCTCCTACTAGCTAGGGCCTTGCAATCATAGCTTTGATTACTCCCTTGCAAGCCAACGCACAACGGCAAGCATTAGCTTTTATTTTTTTCTTGATTTTCCCAAACCAGCATCAAATCATCCGTCTTCTTATTTATTTTGCTTCTCCCAGATCAGTACCCGTCTCTATCTTTTGCTAGATGAATAACCTCAATAGGAAGAAAAAAAATTTAAGTTAGCTCACGAGCCAAACGAGCCAGCTCGAGTTGCTAAGCGAGCTGAGATTCCAGCTCGTTAGTATAACGAGCCGAGATAGCTCGATATCCAGCCCTAGGTGAAGGTCACATGGCTGATGTCTGAGTCTGAGATGGGCGACGGTGGTGAGGCATGCCATGCAGTGTGCAGTGCAGTTCATTTTCAATTCGCCTGCTCTTAGTGGCACTAAATTAAATAAATAAACCATGTCTTGGTATATGCCATTACATTATCTGTTCTCAAAACTATGCCTTATATATGATCCTTTTTACTGCTGTAAATCCATAAACTCATAAGTGGAATATAGTCCTGGCTTATGACCTTGTGTTGAGAAAAGTCTTCTTTTAATGTTCCGATGGGCAGCTCAAATATAGTTGAACAAAGACACCAAGAGCCGTTTAAAAAAAAAAAAAAAAAAAAAGACACCAAGAGCATACGACTATATCACCACGTACTCGTAGCATATATTAGTTCAAGAATAGTATTAGATATAACCCCCCGGGTTCCTCGATCAGTTAGTACTCTGCTTCAAGAAAATTAGACAAACCACTCGACAAGTTCATATGCTCAAAGTTCCAAGTCTTGTTTCAACAATAAAACATGTCAAAGCAATGGAAAATTATCTTCTTCGAGAGAGTAGTTACCCTCGCCACTTGTGGCATTCACATGACCACGAAAGACTCCACTAGCGATACTGCTCAATGTTTCCTCCGGAGATTCCATTCCAACAGATGACCCAAGAGTACCAACCTATGCAATTAAACAAATGAAAAAGGCAATAGATAAGCATGACAGTTATGATTCCAATCACTACTTATGACTTTGTGAGAAAGCTTGGTGGAAACAAGGTTATCACATCTAGATAGCATACAAATCTGCCTACAAACTGCTAGAATATAAACATGGCTGCTTGCACGTAAGGAAGCAACACAGTCGAAAAATGCTCCTTTTTCTGCAGAAGTAGTCACTAATATTTCTCTATTTACTTGCTGTAGAAATTTTGGCAAAAACTCCATGAACAAGCAGTAACAGTATGGTACTATGGTATGTAAATTGTAATGCTAGTTGTGCTACTTTTACTTCTCTTTGTTGCTGGATTTTGTTGTTCAGTCAAGAGTTATGATGTTGTCATACAGAGAGCTCAAATTCTGCATTATATGGGGGCAGTTCTTAGAAGGGCGGGCCTGGTGCAAGCGGTAGAGTCTTACCGCCTGTGACCGGAAGGTCCCGGGTTCGAGTCGCGGTCTCCTCGCATTGCACAGGCGAGGGTAAGGCTTGCCACTAACACCCTTTCCCAGACCCCGCACAGAGCGGGAGCTCTCTGCACTGAGTACGCCCTTTTTATGGGGGCAGTTCTTATACTTGTTCTTGTATTTATGTTTACTTGTGACTATTTGGGAACAGTTCTTAAGCTTATTCTCAGATTTGTTGCTACAAAAGATGTAATGATCATCACACTTACATTGTCAAGAGAGGGATTTGGAGTTGGTGAAGCCACAGCCACAGAGAGGCAGAGGAGCTGGGGGAGAAGGTACTACCATGGTAGGCATTCCTGTGTGGAGAGCAACACTCTGCAGTTCAGTCTTTATATGATGCACCTAATTAGAATGTAGTTCAAATGGCACTAAGATGAATTCTGAAGAACGTATGCCAGCTCAATAAGTGGCTCTAATGAGGTTTTCTGCAAAACAAATAGTAGCTTGACACTGTCAGTTAAAGCTCTTCACTATCTAATCAAAATAGGAATGCTTGCAGGTAGTGAGGAACACATACCAACATACACAATCAGTTAAGAAAACTGATAAGTGTAACTAAGCACGATATAAATCACCATGTTGGAGCAGTAGATTGGTCCTATGTCCAGGAAAAAGGATAAATGAGAATAATAGAGTTCAGAACTAATAAGAAGTTTCAGAGTAAAAAGCATAAGGATGCATTATTTTTTTTGTAGCAGTACCTTAAGGCAACTTAGTAGTTGAAGCAGGCTTTGCTAGCTGAGAGCGTTTTAGAACTGTTGAGTCACTTGAGAACTAAAACAAACTTCTGCCTACAAGTTTTACTGCATTATTGGGTTGCAGGAAGATGAGTTGCATGCAAGACAATCATGCATCATATAAGAAAAATGAAGAAGCGAATATTCAAACAGATTACAGTCTTTTCAGAATTTTAAATGGGTTTACACAACCAGGTGCAAACTGCAAAGCAGTTAACATATTCAGAGACAGAAACACAGCATGATTTTCAACATGTGATCGTCACCTTGTCTAGAATTAGAGGCAATCATATATTTTATCTGATCCAAGAGACATTGGAACGCTGAAATCACTTATTACTGAACTGGAATTCCTAAAAAGCAAAAACCTGTTCGCTTGCTCGTAAACGATCGTAAATTTCCAGCCGGGAACAGTGTTTTTCTCTCACACCAAACCAGCCAGCCGTAAATAATCCACGATACGATACGGCCTCCTGAACAGGCTGCAAGCCTTTCCGTAGAAAAAAAAAATATGTGGCATTCATATTTAAGTAACCCATCCGAGATGCAGAACAACACACATTAAAGATTCACCTGATCCAAAACCATATAGGTTTATTCTTACGCACGACCTAAAAAGCATCGATCAATGGATGAAAATTGCATTAATAATCAATCAACAAGCAGCACGGATTGTGAGTAAGAGAGCAGCAAGAAAACCTTGGGAGGCCAGGTGGGCGGACGGCGCCGTGCCGGTGGCTGGCCGACGTTGGGCAGACGGCCGGCCGGCGGACCGCGTCGGTCAAGCGGCTGGTGGTGGGCGGCGTCACGCATGGGGGCCGACGGAGGGTGGGCGGGCGGCGTCGCGCAGGGGGCTGGCAGAGGGCGGGCGGGCTGCGTCGCGCAGGGACCGGCGGCGGGTGGGCGGACAGCGTCGCGCAGGAGGATGGGTGGCGGCGGTGGATCTGGGTCGCGAGGCGTGGGGAAAAATTTGGGCGCGGGGAGAGAGAGGGTGGCGGCGGGGTCGTCTCGCCGAAAAGGGATTGGGTTCGGGGCGCGCGCGCGCGGAGATAGGTGCTGGCGGGAGGGAATAAAATTTTTAGTTCCCAACGAAATTTCTAGGGAAATATTACAGCGTGGCATGAATGCGGCAGACAACCCTTCTGGCTTCCCGAGAAAAGCTGAAACCCCTACGGAAACTTCTACTTTCCCTGGGGTATCGATAAAAAAAAAATCCCTAGGAAAGTTGTTAAACCCTAGGAAAACGAAATAACCCTAGGAAAACATGTAGATTCCAGTAGTTAGCGCAGGCATCGTGGACTTGTGACTACTGATTGGCGTGCTACCAGTCTTGCAGCTCTAGACCAAACTCACTTTTTTCCCAAATCTGATCAAACTCCCATGAACATGAGCAGAGAAAAATCGAACCAGCAAACCGTTCACTGAAGAAGAAATATTGAGAGGTAGAGTTTTCAGTACTTGGGTTTTCCTTCATGATCCGCAGTGGGATCTACTGCACTTCAACTCCATTGCTAGCAACCTTCATGATCCGCAGTGGGCACCTCATGCTGGATTAAACTCCCGAGCTTTCTCGATGCAGAACAGAAGCCCCACTACTTCGATGAGCACTACCCCAACCACATCAAAGACTGCGAAGACTCCGAAAACTGCAAGGACGAGCACCATCGTCATCGCCCCGATTTCCTGTTTCTTGGACAAGAAAGAGACCGAGACAGAACGAGTGAGCTCACCGTAGGTCTCCCACCGCGGCATTGGAGGGAATAACGGGACGCGCAGGTAGCAGGAGTAGCCGACGACCACCACCGCATCACCGTGGACCAACGACAGCTTCCTCTTCCTCCGCCCTTCCTTCAGCGCTGGAACCACTTTTGCCGACTCGTTCAGGCACCGTGAGCACTCCGCCGCGGTGCGGTTGGCCACACATTCTCTCCCCAGCGCCGCGGTCGGCGTGTCGTCGCCGTCGGCGCTGTTGTCGTCATAGAACCAGCCGCGAAACGCGTCTTCGCGGGCCGTGGACGCGTTGGTGTCCGCGTAGGAGAGGAAGCAGGCGGCGCGCCAGACGGCCCCGCGGCGTCCGTGGCATCCGTCGGCGACGTCCATGGCGGCGGCGGACAGACATTCCAGGCAGTTGTCAGGGGAGGAACCGCGACGTGCACCGAAGCCGAAGCAGAACGCGCGTGCCGAGGAGCCACAGCACGTTGGCGCGGAACGCGCTGAGGTTGTCCACAGCACTTTGGCGGCCAGCGGAAGCGTGCTGAGGAGCCACAGCACGTCGGCGCGGAACGCGCGGACCAGCTTGATCAAGAAAGCATAGTCGGGTGGTCCAGTGAGCCAGGAGCGCAGGACGACACGTGGTTTATCGATTTTGACCGCCGGTGCTCATCCGTCGCGACAACCATCCTGCAATCTTGTTGGCAAAGGGAATCGATTCATCGAACTGAAAAAAAGGTTGGGCAACCCTGGTGGTGACCGGTGAGCCCTACGCCCCTACGGCTACCTATGTGCTATATACTCCTACCTTACGTACTAGTTACGTATTCGCGGCAAACCATAGGCGTCCTCTCCTTTAATTTGTGCCTGTCTCTTGAGGCATCCGCATCTCGCCATATTTTCGCAAAGTAGGAGGAGGATGCACTACGGTTCCGCGCGAATTCTTAACGCCTAAACCGATCGATGCAGCTAAGCACGGGCGCGTGGTCGCGTGGAGGGGCCGGCCGACCCTCGCGAGCTTCGTATGGAGGCCGTCGTCACTTAATCGCTTTCTCCCACGTGCACGTAAGGATCAGGGCTCTTCGACACTGGGGCTGATTTTAGCTAATTTTTTATTAGCTAAAATTTATCCTAGTGCATCAAACACGAGAGCCTATAGGTGGGCTATATTTTAGCTAAGTCTTCAGCTAGTTCTTAGTCAACTAGTTAACGGATCTTAATTAATTTAGACCCACATTTAACTTCACTTAGTAACTAGCCATGTGTATCAAATTGGCCTTTGGAACTGCATTTATGGTGGGGAGCCAATACAAATCAAAGTAGTGCACGTCTAGACACTGTATGAAATATGATTCTAAATCACGTGCATATAGGTGCGCCGGCTACCTTGAGCTTGAGGATTTGACATCAACAGGGCAGCGCTTCGCTTTTTCGCAGGGCTAGTTATACACGTAGGATACTTTTTTTAAAAAAAAAGTGCACACTCCCTCTATACCAAAATAAATGTATATCCCGTTCCTAAAGAGTTAAATATTTTAAAGTTTAATGAAATATATATAAAAATATGCTAATATTTACTATATATAATAAGTATTACTAGAAACTAGGCGCGGCTTTGCCGCGCCCTTCTTGGATTGTGACAACCCTTGTATCAGTACCTAATTTGAACATTAAATGTTGTCAAGTGATGAATTAATAGTATTATTAGTATTTGTAGCAAAAAAATTAGTGTAATTAGTACCTTAGAGTTAGTCCTTATATTTACGATGGAAGGTTGAACTAAGAGATCAATTACTGATATGAGGATTTTCAAGTTGAAATAAGTTCTCATGATTAATATTTATAGCAAAACCATAATCAGGAGTTAGAATATTTTCTGGAAACATTATTCTAGGGATATTGAAGTACTCTCACGTACTCCCACCGTTCCAAATTATAAGTCACTTTGACTTTTTTGGTTCATCCATTTTTCTATGTATCTAGACATGATATTATATCTAGATGCATAGCAAAATGGTAAAAAAAAAGTTAAAGCGACTTATAATCCGGAACGGAGGGAGTATTATTATATGGCTTGTGCAGATCCAAGTGATGTACCCATATGAGATCTGTACAACTAATTGTCAAAATTAATTAGATTGTCGTTTTCGTAAAAATCAGTAATGTCGTTTTCATAAACATTAGCACAAATTTTATTTTTAAAACATCTAATATATTTCAGTTGTCTATTTAATGGATTTAATGAAGAAATGTATTGTAAGAATAAGAAAATATTTGAAAATATATTTTCTAAAAGGACCTGTAATGTACCAAAAAGTGATGCTTGGATTGTACTCCCTCCGTTCCAAGAGTATCTTTCTACCTGTTTTTAAAGACAATATGAGAACCCCACCTAGCCTCTAAATTTTTGGGCGTTTTTTTTTTTGGCAGCCGCTATTATAAATGCAAGCAATTGTAGGCTTGGAAGCAAGTGCAAGGAATGGAATTTTAGACGTACAGAGGGCCAGAGGCTTAGCAGCTGTGAGAGTGGGACCCGCTGGCCAGCTGCTCCTCCTGAAGTCATTCCAGGCTCCGGCCATTCTTATCCTCCCGTGTAGGGATTGTTTGGCTGCACACAAATTCATCCTAATCCATATTGTTTGGGAGGGATTGAGATAGAACTTAAACTAAATTTCACATCAATCCCTCCCAAACTATGTGGATTTGAGTGGATCTGTGTGCAGCCAAACAAAGCCTAAAAAAGGCAAAGATCCTTGCGACTTGCGAGAGGCCGAGGCGACGAGACCTGGCACTACGAGGGCGCTGCGGATCCTGGACGGCGATGGCTTGGAGATGTAGAGGCGGGATGGTCAAGTAACTATGCCGACACCGAGGATGATCAATGTTGGAGTAGCTGCGCGTGTTCGCCGTGGGGCCTCATGTGCGACTCGCGTGCGGAGACGCGGCGGGCTCCCCAATGCGCTTCAGGCGGACGACACGGCGAGATCCTGGGCATATCTCCAGGTGTGCGGCATGACAGGCTGCGGCGAGGTTCCAAGCGAGCGGTGCAACAAGCTCGCCGCCACGACAAGCTCTAGGCGGTCTGCTGGGCGACGGGTTGCAGGGCGGCGGCGTAGTGGCCCAGGTACTAGGCCATGGCGGGGCAGACCCGTCCTCCAACGCGAAGACGTGGTGGCCCTAGCCCCCAGTCATGGCAGCGTGAGGCGCCCTCGGCCACCGACGCGGTGGCGACATGGCCCAAGTGCGGCTGCTCCCCAGCGCGGACGCGCCTGGCCCCTGTGCACCGGGGGAAGAGAGGTGACCCGTGGCCGGCTATCCACATCAGTGGCTGCCCTACCCTTGACCAGCACGGCCCGCGCGACGCTCATGTTGGGAGCCAGTGAGCTACGCTGGGCCTGAGCGCCCCCGAGGCTGGTTTCTTCTCGGCTGGAGGGAGCCCGGAGGCTGCAACGGACTAGCCACGAGCACGCGTGACGCGGGCGTGCTGCTTGCGGCTCTGCGATAAGGGAGCGAGTGGGAGCCAGGACGTCGGTGACCGGTGAGGAAGGGGGGTGCCGCCGTGTCCGTATAGCCGATGCCCGAGGTGCGGCGTAGCCACGAGCTTGGGGGGAAGCTATGAAAAGGCGGGTAACTGTGTTTGTTTTTACGAGGGTGCCTATTTGAGACCGTCCGATCAAAATCAGATGAATCGAAAAAAGGGCGACGTGGCCTAATGACATGCTCGAGCTTGGCTCAGGATTCGAAAGGAAAAGATTAGATTGAGCATTGAATATTTTTTTATAATAAATTCATTTAAGATATACAAATATTGATACTATTTTTTATATTTTTAGTCAAACTTAAAAAGGTTTGATTTCTCAAAAAAATTGTGTTTATTTTGGGACGGGGGAAGTATGAAACATGGCCATGACATACTCGACAATTTTGACATGGCTTAGTGTTTAGGGAAAAAGTATAATTTACTTCCCTCAACTATCGCAATCATCCGATTTTCCTCCATGAACTATAAAAACCACTTTTTTAAAACTCCTCAACTTTCAAAACTGTTTGTTTTTTCACCTTAGGTGGTTTTGATGGTTGTTTTGCTGATGTGACGCAATATTAGACGGGGGTAAATCAGACAAAGTTAAAAGTTCAGGGAGGTAAATCGGACTAGAAATATTTTTTAAAATCCAAAAAATAACTAAAAATATTTTTTAAAAAGTTATCTAAATATTTTTACATGGAAAAATAATGCAATGAAAAATCCTAAGAAAATTTTAATTTTTGATGATACATAGTATTTTTGTGCCATAGGGTGCATGTAGCCACATAGGCCAACACAATTACTTAGTCGAACGATCAACTATTATAATAAATAACGAAAGCTTCTACTCACAAATAAGCACCAAAATGAATTAATCAAGATTAAAACAATTTCAAGCTAGGCACCATAAGATAGAGTATGATTTTAGAGAAAATCTAAAACTAGTTGGGTAAATTTTCAAGGTAAAACAAATTTTCTATGATTTTTAAGATTAAACCAAATTTTAGGATTTTTAATTGCATTATATTTTATGTAAAAAATGGATAAAATTTTGAAATTCTATTTTTTTTTGAATTTTTGATATTTTTTTAAAAATATTTCTAGTCCGATTTACCTCCTTGAACTTTCAAATTAGTCGGATTTACACGCTCTAATGTGGCAATACATCAGCAAAACCACTATCAAAATCAGCCAAGATGCAAAAACAAACAGTTTTAAAAGTTGATGGAAGTTAAAAAACTGATTTTTTTGAAGAAAAAACTGATTTTATAGTTTAGGGAATCAGACAATCACAATAGGTTTTTTTTTGGTTGAGAAAGCTAAATTGAATTATTTTCCTCAGTTTATGCACGACACATGGGCTGGAGCACTCTAAACTTTGCACTGCGCGTAGGCCTTAGCTTCCCGTCGATGGGCCATAATAACGACCCACGGCCTTTGGATTGGCAAGTATCATTGGGTACGGGCTTAGTTGGGCTGGGCATGGTTGCCTGACAACTGGCGCTCTGGTGATTCCCTCAGGGCCCAGATCAGCTAACTTAAGTTGTTCATCAATGAAGATACTCATGTGTTGATTCTATCCTGGCAACGGTCCGTTCGTTTATCTTATGAGCCGTACTTTTTTAACAAATGAGCAATATTTTTCTCTCATAATAAATCAGCGAATAGTACTTTTCAACTTGTCTTTTCAGCGAAGCGACGTGCAGAGTAGGAAATTATACAAACCACTGAACAAGCTCATCAGGGCAGGCATCGTGGACTCGTGTTGTGACTAATGTTAGGTGCTAGCAGTTCTGCAGATAGATCAAAATCACATGAACATCAGAGCATGGGCAGGGAAAAATCGAAGCAGCAAACTGTTGAC